TCGGCGGGTGTTCGGAAGGAACCACAAGAATGGTTCAACGGGCGGGAAGGTGGACCAGCAAAGTGTTGTGGAGCACAACTTGGGCACAGTGAGACACGTGGGGCACAACTTGGGCACAGTGAGACACGTGGAGCACAACCTGGGCACAGTGAGACACGTGGGGCACAACTTGGGCACAGTGAGAACACGTGGGGCACAACTTGGGCACAGTGAGACACGTGGGGCATAACTTGGGACAGTGAGACACGTGGAGCCAACTTGGGCACAGTGAGGACCACGTGGAGCACAACCTGGCACAGTGAGACACGTGGGGCACAACTTGGGCACAGTGAGACACGTGGGGCACAACTTGGGCACAGTGACACGTGGGGCACAACTTGGGCACAGTGAGACACGTGGAGCACAACTTGGGCACAGTGAGACACGTGGAGCACAACCTGGGCACAGTGAGACACGTGGGGCACAACTTGGGCACAGTGAGACACGTGGGGTACAACTTGGGCACAGTGAGACACGTGGGGCACAACTTGGGCACAGTGAGACACGTGGAGCACAACTTGGGCACAGTGAGACACGTGGGACACAACTTGGGCACAGTGAGACACGTGGGACACTGCTGGCCGTCCACTGTGTCCTAACCTATCTTTTGCCGTCTCGATTTGTCTTGCTGCTGGACCCAGATAGGCCGGGACGAGAGTGTGAGGCTGACGATTTGTGCAACTCTCTCTCACTTTAATCCAAGTCGAGTGCAAGTTATGACTTCAACCCCATACCGCGTAACCTCAAGTCCTGTGGCGATGGGCGAGTGGCGAAGTAGCAGGTGCGGATACACTGGAAGCTGTAGTCACAGACCTGCACACACCCGCTACTCCGGGCATAGGGTCGCTCTCTACTGGACCGAAGCAGCAACACAGTTCGGCAGCCCCTGGGTGTCTAAGCAGCCCTCTCTAGGACACACTCTGCTCGCCTCCATGGAAGGAAGGAGCTAGAAAAGGTACTTTAAACATAGCCTTCTTCAAGTCACCCTGGCCAGCAGGCCGGGGCTGGCGGGAATCCCTCAGCGGTCAAACAAATACAAAGAAAAAAGTGAGGGTGTTCAATTTCAGTACTCTGAACGTTCGAACTCTGCTGGATAAGAGCAAGACAGACAGACCTGAAAGGTGAACTGCACTGGTTGCAAAGGAACTAGCGCACTACAATATGGACAGAGCAGCACTCGGTAATACACGTGTGGTTGACAAAGGTCAGCTTACAGAACGTGGTGGTGGGTACACCTTTCTCTGGAGTGGTCACAGTAGCTCCGAAAAACGAGAAGCTGGCGTCGGAGTTGCCATCAGATCCCACCTCACCCAAAAACTTGTTCCCACATAATGTTTTCCTACTATGGGCAGATTTGACTGTGTTTCGTACCCTGCATTATGTTTAAGGTCCTCATTTTTACCGCACCTGAGTACCTGGAATTTATCACTGTTCAACATCATGTTATTGTTTGCTGCCCAGTCGAAAACTTAATTAATATCGGCTTGTAGTTTTTCAATGTCTTCAAAGAGGTAATTTTCATGCTGATTTTTGTGTCATCTGCAAAGGGTGATACGAAGCTGTGACTTGTATTTGAGTCTTTATCTGACATGAGAAGAAGGAAAAGAAGTGGTGCAAGGACTGTGCCCTAAGATACAAAGCTTTTAACTGCGCTTGAACTCGATTTTATATAGAAAAGGTTATTCATTGTTACTGTTACTCTTTGTGTTCTGTTCGACAGAAAACTGAGTATCCAGCGTCCTAGTTTACCAGTTATACCAATTGACCTCATTTTGTGTGCTATCACTCCATGGTCACATTTATTGAATGCCTTTGCAACGTCTGGATATACCACATCTGCATTCAGTTTTTCTTCTAATGGTCAAGTAGCTGTGAAAGGCATGATCTTCCTGCTCTAAATCCATGTTGGCCTGGGTTGTGGTCATTGGTTTCCATAAAACTAGTGACCTGACACCTGATCACTCTCTCAAATACTTTTATGTGGGACGTTAGTGCAAGTGGTCTATAATTCTTTGCCAATGCTTTGCACCCGTCCTTGTGTAGAGGGGCTATGTCTGCTGCTTTAAGTGCATCTGTTATCTCCCCCGTGTCCAAGCTGCTCCTCCACACAATACTGAGTGAATGTGCTACTGAAACTTTGCATTTCTTTATAAATATTGAATTCTATGGGTCTGGACCCAGAGCTGAGTGTATGGGCATGTTGCCAATTTCCCATTCAAAATCTGCCACGCTCGTGTTGATATCAGTTATATTTACAGGTGTTTGGATATCACTCATAAAGAAGTTGTCTGGATCTTCCACTTTCATGCTGTTTATTGGGGTGCTAAACATGTCCTCGTACTGCTTTTTTAGGATTTCACTAATTTCTTTGTCATCCTCCGTGTATGAACCTTCACTTGTACACGTATGAATCCTCCATCTGGCACACAGCAACCGACCTGATATATTGACTTCAGTATATCAGGTCGGCCTTCGACCTGATATATTGAAGTCATGGTCATCTTCGCATCTAAAGGACGATCATCATCATATTGCCAGTCATATTGTCGGAAAATCCGACACCATTTAATATCATACAGACAGATAATAATTGCTGCTGTATTACCAACAAGTTACCCATAGAAAACGTAACTTGTAGTGGAATTACCGTCTATAGAAAACA